AATAATAATAATAATAATAATAATAATAATAATAATAATAATAATAATAATAATAATAATAATAACGAATTTTTATACAGGATTGAAAACCCATCAGTGTGTAACACTGTTGTCCTTGGGGTCCTGTCAAAATAATAAATAAATAAATAAAATAAAACTTAACAAGATATAATCATTGATCTTAAGGTCTAGAAAAGCATACAATAAAATAAAATGCTCTGAAAAAGGATACCTATAACCACGTTTAGATCGAATTTTTAACTAAAATAATCTCGCAATTTGTTCTTAAATTTCAGTCTCGAATCTAACGACCTTAGTTCAGCAGGCAAGTTGTTGAAAGTCTTTGCTCCTTGATAATAGAAGCTCTTTTTACCAAATTCTAAACGTACTTTGGGTAATTTCACTGATATACCGACATTCCTTTCCCTCCGCCAATGATTAAATATCTTTTCCTTGACCAGACACTAGGTGGGAGCGCCCTCACGTCCTATTTGGACAGGTGTTGGACTGGATCCGATATCTGGTCGTATGGCAACCCATAATAATAGTTGTAGTTCAGATAATTATTTATTGTTTAGGATTGGAGTAGCTTCGGCTACTGATGCTTCAGAGAATGGTTTAATGTAACGAAAAAATGACATAAACTCATTGTAAAACAAAGTTTTATTTTCCCAAATTCAGACAGCAGTTGGAGAAATGCCCAAATGTTTGTCTAGTCTCGTGTTATTTGAAGAGATTTTTAATGCTTAAAATGATGATTTCGTTCGTACTTTGGTTGTCGAACCCGTAAATGTATTAATCTCACGAAATAAACCCCTAATTCTTTCGTTCAAAAAGAGTATGAAGAGTCATTTTTAAATTCTTGCTACAGTCTTTTCTCCTCAGTTTCACCGCAGAGTTTACGTTTCAATGGTTCTTTCATTCACGACTTGAACAATGTTACCGATTTTTATTCCGCTAACAACTTCGCTAGCCTTATTAAATCACAGGTACAATACTGTTTTAAAATTAATATATCCGGAAGTTGCGAATATCTTCTGAGACCTGCCACGGTAGGAGTTGGATTGCTAATAACCTTCTGGGTTATTGTTTTGTCCTGACCAGTTTTCTAAAAGTAACAATCAGTTATCATTGGCCATTGGTGTCACCATTTCACCTCTGATTAGCTGGCTAAAAGAACACAGCTTTTACTCTCTAGCACTGTTTTCGTTACACTAGTAAACACTAATTTAAAGTTTTATCGCAAATGAAGCAGTTTAAGGCTGGATTACGGCAAAAAAATGTCAATGTTGTTAAAGGATAAATGGATCGTCCGCTTTGAATTATTATTAAACAATCAAATAATCCCCCGCTTCTTCTTCATTTCTAAATTTCAATCTGCATTTCTCAATTATTTTTAACAAATTCCAAATTAAGTCGATTGCTAGAGATGTTGCAATCCTACTTTTATCAGAATGTTGCTTTTTCGCAAATGAACCTTTCATCTTAACAATAGTTGTCCTGTATGCAAAGTAAAACTTTTTATCCCAATACGGTCTTGGCAGGCTTATGAGAGTCTCTAAGGCATTTTTTTTGTTTTATCCCTCTTCGGCTTTGGGGGAAGGCAGAGACCACGGCCTTTATAATCCTAAAAATTATTTTGAACCTCATCGAGTCTTAATCCAATAAATATGTTTCTTGCCATCTGAATGTTAAAAAATAAAAACTATGAGACTCACAGACATAGACCTCGGCCTTTGTAATACTCAAAGTTATTCTTAACCTCATCGAGTCTAAATCCGATAAATACGTTTCCTGCCATCTGAATGTTAAAAATAAAAACTTAGAATCGCAGTTGGCAGGCAAACTGAGTAATTCACATCTCCGTTTGAAAATGGATACGACGGTGTAACAAAAAACTTATTTTGATTAGTAGACATAATAACCTCGCATATTGAATTTATATTTGTGCGTGGAGGAAATAGTTATAGAATTTCTCGCAATAGTGTCTGTAAATAAATTAAAAGTACACTTTTTGAAGGCACAGTTTGTGAATGAGAGAGAGAAATGGGTGAAAATTTTATTGGGAGCAGGAGTTCTACTGAAAAACGAAAGTAGGAAAACCTGTCAAACTATTACATATTCAAATTCAGCACGGAACGAACATGGCAGCTGAATATTAGAGGCAAGGGAAAGTTCCGGTAAACAACAATCGTCCATCGTCATCGCATAAACACCATTGCAATTAACTTTTTTGAAAACAAATTTTGATTCTTAGTAGGTAGACCGACTGAAAAAAAACATTTCCCTCAAAATGAAAATCAATTTCCTGCCAAGAAAGGAAATTACAGTCTCTTCGTTGGAAGGCCGAGGCAGGCAACCAGTGAAAGAAAATAACAATTAGATAACTGGTAGCTTTATTGCAAAAATAGAATTGTCATTTGCTAGTTTGTTAATGAAATGAAACGGCTGGCGCCGGGGGGAGTGTGAGTTGATTGGAAGTGAAATATGACTGAGAATGTCGGCAAGCAGAACCTTTATTTCCTCTATTTTTATGGAAAAGAAATGAATCATTTCGTTTGAAAGTCATGCCCAGCTGGCTTGCAGAGTTGTAAAATACAAATCTCTTTTCAGCAAAGCTAAAAACCAGTGTCTGACTTTAGATAAAAAAGGTAAAGTAAATACCTTCCTCTACCCCCCTTCTTCCCTCTCTTCTACGCCGACCCCTTCTCCCGCCGTCCCCGCCCCCTCTACGAGTTATTTCTTCGCAATGCTTTTAATTTCCAGCTGGCCGTCAAAGAGAAAGTTCATCTGATAAACGTTTTCCGATAAAGCATAGAGGAGAATCGAAGATACAGGAACGGATGAAAAGCCTCTGCAGTTACGTAAGGTTGCTACGCTAAATTCATATCTTCTGAGATGGAAAGCTCCAGTCCAACTTTAGCTTCAAATTCATCAGCGTTAAGATCAGGCTGCGATGAATGGTTGGACACTATCTTTCTTGTGTTGGACGGATTGCTATCTGGCGTCATTGTATCCGGCAATGGCGTAGCATGTTTTATTTTCTTAAAAAACACTCGTTTTAGAAGCTGTTTTATGAACACTTTTCTCGTAAGTTTGGCTGTCGCAGATATTCTAATGGCTGTGTTCGTGATGCCGGGTGAAATCATCTTTTGCACGGGTTGTAGCCGACCAGTTAGCGAACACTGCTGGCTAATCGGTTCCGTGAGGTATTTTGTTTTTGCGGCAGCGAAACTCAATCTGCTCGCCATTACCTACGACAGATACACAGCGGTGATGAGTCCTTTAAAGTACAACGCTAAAATCAACTTTAAGAAAGTCATCTTGATTCTTACGATGGTCTGGACGTTTCCCATGATTTTACCACTTAGCCGTTTAGTTTGGTGGATGAGGCTACCCAAGAATCAAGCTTCAAACACGGACCGTATCTTTAACTCAGGCCTGGTTTTCTCGTTGGTTATTTTTCCAGTTGCCGTGCTTTTAGTCGCAAATCTGAGAATTGTATTGGAAATCAGAAAACAGCATCGTCGAGTTGGTACAATGAATAGTGCAAGCATGACAGAGACTTGCTCAAGTATAAACAATGCAAGAAATGATCATGAAAACAGGCTGAAAACATCGCGTCAGGCGGGAAGAAAGGGAACAACGGCTTGTGTCCTCGTGGTGTTCATTTTTGTGATGTGCTGGTTTCCAAGGGGATTGTATAATGTTTTCAGACTGTTTGGCAAAGAAGAGGGGCCGTTGTTGAATAAACTAGGCCTGTTCTTTCTGTTTGTTCAGTCAGCCATCAATCCTTTCGTATATTCTTTTTACAGGGCAGATTTTCGACGAGCTTTGATAAAACTTCTACGATGTCGTTAGTCTTGACTCGTCCACAATCTCCTTCACAGCTGCTAACTCGGTTGACATGGAAGAGGGAGTTAATTGAGGCGTTAGGGATACAAGTTATTACCCCCTGTAGCCCTCAACACATATGATTCTGTACGAGTTGTTAAGGCAAAAGGGTAGCTGACGGAAAGTTTACTCTTTGCCGAGGATACGTTAACCTAGGCTGTCCTAGAGGCACGTTAAAAAAGGTAAAATAGAAACTTAGATAAAGTAAAGATGTTGTAGAATTGAGACATTGACTCTGAACACGCAGCTTTTGTTTGGTTGATTAATTCTCGGTACGTTTCCATATTTAAAAATTTGTCATGCATGCTTCATGGCCGGTTTCCCCAGGCATTTTTAGCTTTGATTAATGACGCCTCAATATCTAGCCAGCCTAAGGGCAACTGTATTGCGAATGCTTCCATGCAAGAATCATCTACTGAAAGATAACACTTCGGCCGGACTTCCTGACATTAGTACTAAAAAAAGAAAGGCGGCGCTATAGAGACAATTAAATGGCACCGTTCTGACAAGACTAAGTGGTTAGCTGTTCGGGGGCTATTATCTGATGTGTCTGTGAATAATACTTATCAGCCATGAGTAGGTGGTGGAACATCCAAGAGAATACTCGATCCGAGACGTCTATTGCTAGAAGCTCTTTGGCGTGCCTTGATTGGGAACCATAAGATTCTGTTCCCTTGTCAGCGATGCCAACAGAAAAAGTCAAAACTAATACCAAATACCAGAAGCAAATTGACAAATCGTTTGCGGTTATATATCACAATTTAAAACGGATACAGGATGCCAAGCCAACGGAGGCGGGAGAACTCGAAATTACGGACCCTGGTTCGTCGCTACAGTGTAGGAAAAACCGTTCGTATTCTTCGCCACCAGAAAGGACTTTCGTAAGTACGGAACAAACATCTTGGGCGAAGACACACCAAAACCCAACTCACTCCATAGTAAAACAAAGATCTATTTCCTCAACGCAAAGTTGTAAAAGAGAGAGTCTAAAGAACAGAAGAGTGAGTTTTTCAGTGGATGCACTTACCAGTTTTCAGTAGTGTTACAAATGGCGCAAGGCCTCACCAGACAAGAATCGAAACTTCCAAATAATGTTATACTCCGTTCACTCATTAACGGAATGCACTGAAGGTCCGTCCGTGATTAAGGGTTTATCAGCCTTTCATCCATCATAGCTGTCAGGCGGTCGCTATTTTCTAGTAACTTAATGAAAGAGTGTGTCTTCTAAAGGTCTGTTATCATAATCGGGATACTATTGTAGAAATATACGCAAAGAATAAGTAGTCTTTTCACTGTTTCACGTACCTGTTTAAGGTTCTTGGTCAGATAGGACCTCTGGATATTTGAAGACGGTAGATACGCTTTCTGTCTTTTAGTATATTCTGCCTTTCTTTAATGTATAAATCGCTGCCAACTTTTGGAGGGTCACATCTTATGCAGGCTCAATAACTTTAACTCTACGGTGCAGATTATCTTTGCATCGTCATTACCGCAACGTTACTGCCGTTATGTAATTCATGCCTGTAGTGTATTTTTACTCGATAAAATTCTCAGTGCCAGAAGAAAACCAGCTATTTTCACTTTGCTCAGAATTTTGCGATCGTCAGTTAAAAATTCTTGTCGAATTATACGGAGCAAAAGATTCAAGGAGGAAACTTGAAGGAACGAAACGGTACATGATGAATGTGTTTGTCAAATACACCTGGCTCAGAAGCAAACTTCACCCCTCAAGGCGGACCAACAAGATTGTGAAAGCACGATTCATCAAGGAAAAGCAATCATTTTCAAGCCTATCTTTTTCGGAGGCCACTTTTTGACAGAAATCTACATTCTATTGCGAACTTCTAATGAAAATTCAAGTATTGTTAGCAAGCCACGAGTTTGTTTTGACTCCTCAGAGATCAATTAAAAAAGTGTGTGTTTATTTAGTCATTTTTTTTTTTTTTTTTCGGATTATGATTTTTATTTTAACACCTGGATAAATGTTGTTCGTATGAACGACTGATAAATCTAATTATTTTGATTTCAAGAAGCACAATGTACTAAATACAAACTTGAAAATGAAGTCATTGTTGTTTTTGTTGACAAAGTGCTGTTCAGTCAACCGTCATTAAGAATTCTTGATAATCGATCGATAGCGGTGCGATATAATTGGAAAGAGGCAAGCGCGTGTTGATAAACAAACATTTCATGCGGTGATTGAATGATATAGTGCTCAAGAACATTTTCATCTTACTTTAAAATCAGAGAAATGAAAACGAACTAAAGGTGAGCTTAGTTGAGTTGTCTTTCACGATATCTCGTCTGCATACTTTCTCTTTTGTTATGGATGACTCCCACAATTATGGCTTTCTATGAGTGTTAGCCCTTTGCCACATCCTGAGGGGGCAAAAATTTGACATGGGACCATGATAAACTGCACGAACATCAGTCAAAGTTCTGCATGGGCGCAACTTCCATTAATCCCGCTATGATAAAAGTATATTTATTACACGACTCGGGAAGTCAGAGGGCCGTTAACTAAAATCAACCAATCAAAATGCTCTATTGCCGATCAATATTCTCTCAGTATTGGACCGGGCACTGTCCCGTATGGTCCCGAATAATACCGCACATATATGTCCCTTTGAACCTCAGTCGTATAATAAATCCGTTATTAACCAAGCTTGCTCGGGACCGTACTGGAAGGATATCGGCCCTCGGTCTTTTTTGTACGGACCTCGCTGCGCTCGGTCCGTACTGTCAAGACCTCGGGCCGATATTCTCCCACGGCCCTCGCACTTGGTTAATAAGATATATATTTCACAAAGCATCGAGAAAATGACACAAGTTAGGCCGCTTATTAATTGTCTCTCTCGCGTGAGGAACCCGTATAGACACGAAAAAAAAAAAAACATCCTAACAAGCCCCGAATTGATTATTAATTCCCACGGATTCTGTAAAAATCAAAACAAAACAAAACAAACAAACAAACAAAAATATATAAAGTGTAAAATTTTTATTTTCGTAAAACAGTGCTCAATAGATAGAAGTAGAGCGAAGTATATATTGTGGGAGGAAAAAGTTATGTATATATTTATTATATAGATACTAATGAAATACCCGGATTTCTCCTTTTACTAAAAAATCATATCTTCACCGCGCGCAGGGAAGATACTATTTTTATCTTTCACGTGTGAGGATATTGGTGTGGCCATGGTTACCAACATAATTACCCAATTGTTGTTTCGAAAATGAATTAAAAAAGTTGTCTTTTATGAGGAAATTTCATCAGTAGCTATATAATAAACAGAACATTACATGGCCGCTTGGGGATACGAATTTTATCTTCTCGTGCTAAGAGTATCTCTCACGGGTGAGCGGAGCGAACGAGTGAGAGATACTTTCATCACTCGAAGACAAAATTCGTATCCCCACGCGGCCATGTAATATCCTCTATATAAAATGTGTGGTAGGCAGAAAAAAACAACTACGTATACATCCCTATAGACCTGTTTCGTGGTTGCCCACTCATCAGGGGATTTTAATTAAAATCAAACAAACAAACAAATAGATATAAAGTGTAAAATTTTTCTGCCTACCACACATTATAACCACTCCACTATTTGTATCGAGCACTGTTTCACGGACACCAAGTTTAATATATATATATTTTTAAGTTTTGAAAAGGGTTTATTCATAACAAACCACCTATGCTACAAAATAAAAGTGCTAACGCACGTGGGCTTAGCCCCAACTAATTATTAATAAACAGTCCAAAGTTCAAGAGTTCTTAAATATATATACGAGTATTAAATATTACTAATATTAATGTAAGGTTATAAATAATTTCAAAATAGTTAGGTCTAATATTAATATAAGCTTGATCTATAATATTGGTATGGCTAGGGCTAACGTAGACTAATATTAATATAACTCTAGGATTGTTTAATGCTAATTCTAGGTTGTAAATAATTCCAAGTTGATTTAATCAAATGTTAACTAAAGCTTAAGGTAATCTAATATTAATATAAGCTTAATCTATAATAATGGTATGGCTAGGGCTAACGTAGACTAATAATAATGTAACTCTAGGATTGTTTAATGCTAATTCTAAGTTGTAAATAATTCCAAGTTGATTTAATCAAATGTTAACTAAATCTTAAGACAATCTATTTACAAAAGTATTCTCTAGGTCCCCATCAATTGTACAGATCGATGGGGACTCCCATGCGTTTCTAAAGTTAGATAACGAGAGTCGGAAGTAGTCGCACGCAATTCTGTTTTTGGTCTCGCTGAGGGTATAGCGAATTATACCCTCAGGGGGGTCATTCCCATTGTGGAAGGTAGATTTATTTCGAAATTTCCAGATGCTGTACAGAATTGTCTTAATTAGAAAGCGGGCAATACGATTCTGTTTTGGACTAGCGGGGGTCCAACGAAAAAAGAAAACATAGGTACAGGATGGGAGAAAGCTAGTTCCAAGGATAGAGGAGATAATAGGGGAAAAGTAGGTCCATACAGATTTCACACGGGGGCAATTGAGAAAACAGTGATCTATAGTTTCTTTACGGGAACAGTTCCGCGTGAATACTGAG